AAGTAGTGGTCACATGACACACACAGAAAGACTATCAATCAATAAATTATTCATATTCATAAAAACGTGTATAAATAACATCAATTACACAGTAAAAATTATCCAGAAATGGCAGCTAATAAAGGGTTTGTTTAAGTCAGTATATAATTACTTTCTCTACACTTTCTAGTAATACACCACAACAGAATGTACATGAAGAACAATTATTACAACAAATTGATAAATTACAATTGATCAGTAAACTGATTGCATTTCGTCTATCAAAATCAGAAGAATTTAATAAAAAAACTGATGCAGCTTTGAAAAAAGCTCAACAGTCAAAAGGACAATTAAAACAACAAACTAATGAACTTGTTGATGATATGGAAAGTGTTGTCTTATCGATTGTCACATCGTTGAAATCATTTCAATCAGAGGCTAGAGCAACATTATATAGTTATCAATCACAATTACAAAATTCACAAAAAGAATTACATGAAGCTAAAAATACAATACGTCAATTGAATGAGAAAATTGAACATTTAGAAACATTATTGTTGGAAAATAAACGTTTATTTGAAGTGAATTTACAAGCTATACATATTACATATGTAAATATAATGGAGCATATATTTGAAAAGTTACAAGAATTAATTTTAAGCGATTTAAATTTATTAGAACAAAAAAATGATGCTATTCATGCAGAATATAAAAATGCATTCAAATTATTAGGTTTACAATGTACATTTCATGATATTTAATCTAACAAGTATTCATCTAATTCTAATATATAATATATACACTATTGAAACATTGAGTCATTTAAAAGATAAGTTGATTTAAACAAATGTGATATGAAACTGTAAAAAAAGTGATGATATGACTTCTGGCATAAAGAGGTCTAAACTGTACGGGAAAAAAAAATAAAGTAGTATCTAACTAATAGTGTTCTCTGAGCTGGTTGGTTTAGTTGCGAAGCTTTCGTCGTCCTTCTTGACAACATCTTCAGCGCCATATCTAGCAGAAAGTGAAATGATTTAAATTTCTTCATGAGTGATATAATTGCGTCTCCTGGTAACCATCTTTACATATGTATTGACCATTTTCTATTGACTTGGATTTTAAACTTTCTGGTCACCTGATTTACTTTTTATTAGTTGGTATATTTCGTCTTTATTAACGTGTTTGTTAATTGCATTTTCGCTTGAGTACCAGGCTTCTAGGAATTCTCTGGCACTTTTCGTGTTTCCTCTGTCTAAGATTTTGACATTATCTCAATCAACCATAATTATCTATATGCATTGATACTAAAAAATACATATCGTGTCTTTTCATGGCTGATTTGTGTTCTTGGATTCTGATTCGAAGAGGACGCCCACTTTGACCGATGTAATGCCTGTTATAGTTCATACAATTTATTTTGTAAATGGTATTAATTTTATCTCCTTTTTCTGTTAGATCTTTTGGTTTGCATAATACCGAATTAGGCGATTTTACTGGCTTGCGTGCTATATCTATCCAGTTTATAGTTTGTTATACATTTTCCCTTGGATTCCTTCTTAATGGAACATTAGGCTTCAGCAGTACATCTTTATTGTATTTTGTTCTCTGCCGGCTTTTTACCTGTATCTCTGTAAGTGACTACAATCTCTCACATCCTCCTTATTTGATATCCTCTATGTTACTTTCGGATGCCGAATTCATCAGTTTCTATTCAGATGCAATTCGAAGGCCTGGCCTGTAGTGTCACTCAGCGGTCTCCTCAGTGTACATTCAATCCATCTCCATTACTATCTGAATATTTGTTGGACGATAGGTTCATTGTTGGTTAGCCTTGTGACAAAGCACTTTGCTGCATATCTCCTTAAAGCTGGCCTTCTGATTTCCAGTATGGATGGAAGGCAGTCTTTAATGAAAGTCTGCAACCTATTGGAAAAAAAGAAAAAGGCGTAAACAGCGAAGAAAATTTTCTTTTCGACGATTGATTCATTTTCATGAGCTGTACAATCGTAATTATAATTAACAAAGAAATCTTTAGACCAGTCAGATACTGGTAAATTTTGTCCTCGAAAAATTGTATTACATAATGTAAGGTGTAACATAGAAGGGATGACTAACTGTAAGTTAGAAAAGAGACAGAAGTTGGCATGACGTAATAATGATAATGACTAATCAGTAAGCTCGTGCAGAATGGATAGAAACTAGTGGAAAGGTTATAAAGTGTTTTTATATAAAATGTGTATGAAGAAGCAATGTTATTAATCAACAGGAATAGAGTGGTAATGAAATGTGGATGATGGGAATAATAATGATAATAAAATTATATATATACACACCTATATGGTTGAAGCATTAGCAATTCGGGATCTGAATGTCTGTCAAGAATAATTATCTGTTATGTACGTCAAACGGAATAAAAGGGGACGTGGTTGAAAAGATAAATTAATGAAATTAGAAAACAAAGAACAACAGATTGAGCGGAGAAATATACATTCCTTTTCAATTAGTTCCTCATCATCGGCTCTACACTAATATATAGTCTTTTACATCAAAATTTAGCCAATCAAGTGGTTATTTTAGTAAATCAGTTTTAGGTATGTGGAGATGAAATTAAGAGGTTAAAAGTCATCAAAACAATTGACTAATAGATGTTAGTAACAAGATATCTAAGTTTTGAAGGAGGCGTGAAATTTAATTATGGAATTCAGGAAAAGTTCACTCTTAGACGTCAGCAACAAGTTATTACATAATCAAGAAATTTGTAAAAAGAAAATGTAAAAGAAAACAAAGAGTTATTAAGGGATGAGCCACCAGGGTAATTGAAGTCCAACGACAGGTTCCTTTTAGAGACATAGGTCAAATTTCCGCGAATTTATTACGATAGCTTCAGTAAACTGAAGAGGATTTGAGTTAATTGTCTGTTAATTATTTTGAATGATGCCGGTGCGTCTACTCAGTGTCGTGTGTCCATCAGGTGTTTGGTGACTGAAGAGCCTAAGCTGTCTCTGGCTCTTCCATACACATTCGAAGAATCTGACGTAGTCCCTTCTTTCTGTTCTTCAAATGTAACCACTCCCGCAGATATATCTTAATTGTTATACGCAAGTAGGGGTAACATATGAAGGGTACTGGTCGATCTCAGACGGCATCAACGAAGAGGATGTTCAAATCAGAAAGACTAGTTAGGTTGTAGGCAGCCAATGAGAACCAGAGAAATACAATGAATCACTTTTTATTCTGCACCAATGTTTGCTCTTTCTTTGTTCAAATTTATAAAAGTGAATTCTTGTTTGAGACGGATATTTGTTTGAAATGAGTCCACATTAGTTAGTTGATAGCAGATTACACTGGACTGATTCTGTCACTGAAAAATTGAGGTGAGAATTCTCCAGAATTTCTTTCGGAAACTAAAGTTATGCATATCACAATTTATAATCTGCTTGATATTGTAGTTGACAATCAAGAAATTAAAGCAAAACAGGGGGATTATATAGGCTGATGACTGATATAAGTAGTTGAAAAACACTCACATAAAAAGTTACATTCCTCATAAACTCATATATATTTCATTCTAGAACAGAACAGTCTCAAGACAACTATCATATCTGGAGGTCAGCAATGGACAATGACCTCAAAAGATATAACATCAGTGAAATGAATTTTCATTCTTGAGTAACTCAGCTCCAATTCCCCAGTGTTAGCAACACTGATCATGAATTCCTGTTCGAAGTTCAGTAAATCCACTTCAAGGCCATTAATTGATCACTAGTTTTGGTGTCATTCAAATGTAGGTTGGAAAACTTCTAGACTCCAGGGAAAGGAATATGTTAGTGGTAAATCAGTTATTATTTGAAGAAGCAAGGCTAGAACAATAAAATTAATTTCATACATAAAACCCATTATATCTAAAAGTGTTTTAACAGTTTAACTAATGTTTCGTTTTGCAAGCGTAGGTCAAGCTAGAAACAACTAATAGCTTTAAACTATAAACAGTGAAGAAGATTTGGTGTAAAGTGTATTTTCTTTATCGTATTGCTAACTCCATGACATGTGTTCACAAAGTCCTCAGTGGTCTTCCTTGTAAAAACTCTATTTTCCCTCAGTTATGAGTTCTTAATAGTGAGTGGTTCTCTTCTTACCCAAGTTCCTTGTTAGTTATATTATCTAACCAGCCAACCACACTATTCTTCTGTATCAAATTACGGAGGGGGGGATGTGTTAATGAAATTCTACAGCTGGCTGTTGGAAATGCTTTCGGTGATGCACAGTTCAAGTCTCTTAACTATATAGATGCTCTCACCTAACATTAATGTCAGTAAGAATTCGGATACTGTCCCTTCTGCTGGGTGCTTTGAATCACTATGATTTTCTTATGAGTAATGAGTCTTGATTCCACGATTTTATATGCCTTTGGCATTCATACCTGAGTCACCGTCTGTAGTTGAAACAATGTTGTTCAAGTCAGGTAGGTGAAAGAGACGAATCCGTTCATATTTCTCACTCATAAAAGGCGACTAGTGTTTGATGTTATTGATTGCATATAATCATCATCTCTGTGTTCCACATGCTCACCTGGGGGCGTTCCTGTTTTTGGTGTATCTTCCCACAAAATGTTGGTTTACTCTTCAGTTTATCTCTGAGTTTGTGTGATATTTGAAATACATCACCGTCTAAATTCAGATATTCTAAGGTATCATTGTTAGTAAGCATATTCTTGTCTTTTTATCCCTCACGATCAGCTACATGATTCAGTCCGCTATAATCAGGAAGACCATCAGTGATATTAGGCAACCTTGTCTTGTTCCTCGATTCACTCCAAACGCCTAAGTGAGTTTTCTGTCGTGAATCACCTGTCATGGTGTATCATTGTGTTGCTTTTGAATGAGGTTTATAAAGCTTTTTGCCACTGCGCTGTGGAACGTTGAAGTGGTTTTCAAATTACTTCATGGTCAACACCACTGAAGGCCTTTTCTAGGTTTTTGAAGTCGAAGTACAGAGCAAATCTCTACTCCAGTCTGTGCTCGATGATGATTCATCGTGTTGCAATCTGTCCTTCCTGATTCCAGGCTGTTCTAGGTTTGATTTTGCATCTCTGACATATTTTAGTACCACTAAGATAATATAGATAATATTTGCATGGGATGGATGACACTATAGGCGTAATTCTTTCTTCTCTCACAGTTTTAGAAGGTAACTCTGTTTTCAGTTGGAAAATTTCTTTCCTTTCTTCCACACCTTCAGCGGTAGTGGGAGGAGTGTTTTCACTGAGTTCTCTGGGTGTTCCAATGGGAATCCTATCTGGTCATACTGCTTTCCCGGCCTCCCGTAACTTTTTTGGTCTTCAACGCTTCTGATTTTGTAGGAGAGTTTGTGTTCACTAGTAGTTCTGTGTTTGCTGGCGGTGTTATTTCGAGACGGATTACAGGTAGTGATCAGTTTAGGATTCCTTTGAAGTGATCAGGCCAGTGTTGTCTTTGTCCCATCCCTTTAATAACTGGGCTTTCTTGACTATCATTTAATGGCTTCATCTGTGTTGATCTCTTCCAGGATAGCAACCTAGTTATTTGATATAGTGTTCTAAATTCAATTGTATTTGAAGCTTTTTCTGCTTCAGGTGGCAGTGTGTCGAAAAACGGTATTTTGTCTTCCCTAGTACTCCTCGCTTCTTTATTCAGTGAGCCATGGGTTGTGTTAACATTCTGCTCTAGCTATTCAAATTTTCAATAGTTAACCTTCACACTCACCACCCCTCTCTCCGTTATTAGCTTCCGCATGTCC